AAGCACACATTCCATTAGCTCTGAGTGATCACATCCTCAAACTCCATATAGCCTCTGGAAAATTCTACTGTGCACTCATGAATGAATGAGAGTGAAGAAGGCAAACAACAGCTTAGTACTGCTGTGAAAAGAGTTCTGATCTTGCAGACTCCCTTAAAAGTTCTCAGAGACACTCAGACTTCACTTTGAGAACGGCTGACCTAATTATTCACACCAAAATGAGCAATGATGCTATAAACACTGTAAACAACTGCTGAAACTTCCCAGAAGATTTAGTTTTGCAATGAAAGGAGCCTATGTGTAAGGGGGGAGGGGGTATGACATCAACATCTATCTAAAATAAGTACCTTTGGCCGGGCTTGGTGGCTCAGCCTGTAATCCTACACTTTGGGAGGCTGAGGTGAGTGAATTGCCTGAGCCCGTGGGTTCGAGACCTGCCTGGGCAACTTGGCAAGACCTCATCTCTACAGTAAATTTTTTAAAAAATTAGCCAGGCATGGTAGTATGCGCCTGTAGTTGCAGCTACTTGGAAGGCTGAGGCAGAAGGATCACCGGAGCCCAGCAGGTGAGGCTGCAGTGGCCAGGAGCATGCCACTGCACTCCAGCCTGGGTGACAGAGTGAGACTACAACTCAAAAAAATAAATAAATAAAAATAAAAAAATTAAAATAAATACATTTAAAGTAAAAACAGGTGAGTGCAGTGGCTAATACATGTAATACAGCACATTGGGAGGCTGAGGCTGGAGGATTGCTTGAGGCCAGGAGGTTGAGACCAACCTGGGCCACATAGTGAGATCTCATCTCAGCAGAAAATTTTTCTAAAAATTACCTGGAACTGGTATTCAATTTCTGAACAAAACCCAAAATACACAGGTCATAAAAGATAAGATAGACAAATGGGACATCATTAAACTGACAAGCTTCTGCAAAGCCAAAGAAACCATCAAGAGAGCAGGGAGACAGCCCACAGACTGGGAAAAAGTATTTGCCAACTCCATATCTCACAAAGGCCTAACATCTTGGATCTACAAGGAACTCAGATGTGCTGCAAAGAAAAAAAACAAACAATCCCATTACAAAATGAGCAAAAGATATGAACAGACACTTCACAAAAGACATATGAGCAGCCAACAGACACATGAAGAAATGTTCAACATCACCAATCATCAAGGAGATGCAAATTAAAACTACACTGAGATACCACCTAACTCCAGTCAGAATGGCCATCATCAATAACTCAAAAAACAACAGATGCTGGAGAGTATGTGGTGAAAAGGGAACACTTCTACACTGTTGGTAGGAGTGTAAACTAGTGCAGCCTCTGTGGAAATCAGTGTGGCGATTCCTAAAAGCTCTAAAAATCGACCTTCCATATGACCCTGCAATCCCCCTACTGGGAATATA